ATTTAAATATGGTAATGATCGGCACAAATTTCAGCGGTGGCTTATCTATTTGATGCGACTAAGCCGTTTGCACCATATTATGCTTAATTATATTTCTTATAGTACATCAGAAGCAACTAAACTAAACTAACCAATTCATAGGTTAGCAACAATAATAGACATTCTACATATTAAGGTTGGGCAAACTTTATAAAAGTTTATTAGCATACTAATCTTTTTGCTAAGTAAATTCTATTTCGAAGACGTAGATAATTTCTAGGAAAATATGGTTGAGATTTTTTGACAAAAATTCTAATAACCTTCAAATTATTGTCATTCCTAGATTATCCTAATTAAGAACCGTAGAGACGGAACAAAACGAACGATACGAAAAAGTTTATACCGAATTTGCTTTTTTTTTCAATTACAACATAATATTTTTAGGAAATACAGTATAATAATTTACTATACAAACAGAAAATTATAAATAGATTAAAAATTAAAATTTATAATTGACGCAGCAAAAGTCATTTGATGTGTTGTGTAACACCAAGAATCCCATGATGTCTTTTTATTTTTAAAAAAAAAAAAAGAAAAAAAGGAATTTCTGCATCTATGCTAAAAATTTTACATTTTGTTCATTGTCATTTAACGAACCTTTTTTTAGAATGCTGAAACGCTGGTGGCACGTTGCTTAATTTTTTTTGGAAAGGTTTAATTTTCCAAATATAATAAATACTAACCAAAAATTTCAGTTTATGATTAGAGATATTTCCAAATATAGTTTAGACGTATTGTCATTTTATAACTTTTACGCATATACTTATTATGATGGCAATCGCAATCACAGTGGTTTAATACAAATACTTGCGCTGCCGCCTAAAATCAATCAAAAGGCGCAGAAGGCTGATTATTTTTTAAAAACTTACGATTCGGCGCTGCGCCCCGATACCGAAAAATCCGCCTACAAATCATTACATTTATTTTATTACTTTTTAAAGGTAAAGTTTTTTTTTTAAAATTATTATTATTTTATTGGATTGCTTCAGGGCACAGTGACTGGAATGATTTCTTTTTTTAAAAAAATTTGCACTCTAAATTCGTTATAGTTGATTCGCTTCCAAAAGTTTTAGACAGCGGCGTGTATTAGCAGTGGAGATGGATATGCCTCAGGCCTCCCTAATTAAAATAAAGATGATTATGTTGAAATCACATGATATAATGATGAATAATTATGAATATTAAATTCTACGGTAACTCGTCGTTACTGTAAACTAAATTCAATGAAATAAAACGTAACTTTATTAGAATGGAATAATTTTTTTTTAGAAATTAAATTAAAATAACCATTAATGTAATCGAACCAACCAAACAAAAGCCAGATCGTTAGGTCGTTTCAAAACGATTATGCAAAGTTTACAACCGAGATTCATGAGGACACTTAGAATAAAAGTGATCCACTTTATCTTGATATAATTACTTTGCTAAATAATCAAGATTGTCGCATTTCACTAACTTTAAATTGACGACGTATTACTCTTGCGTATTCATTTGGGGAATTGACGTATAATCCACCAATAATGTTGTTGAGCATTATCGGTAACGAGGTAAATGGAATGCGATTGAGATTGTCCATTGTCTAAAAAGAGAGTTACTACTAGTAGAAAGTAAAGTTAAATAACTGATGGGACAAAAGGAAATAAGATAAATAGATAATCGCTTAATCATTTTAGACATACGTTAACACTTGATTTTTCATAAGAATTGCCTCGTCCCAATAAAATATCAGAAAAGAATTTATAAACTTTACTTGTAAATGTTCTGCAGCTTTAAGGATTATTTTTATATTACATGTTTTATTTATTTCTAAATCATCATCTGTTTTTTGGTTGACTTAATTAAAAATTTCTAAAGAATTTTTTTTTATTTCCATTTAATATATGATCATATATTTTATTATAAACCACGTTCAAACACTCTTCCATTAATTTCTTTTATTCTAAAAAAAATGTTTGATACTATTTTTGGTTTTATTCCGTTTATTATATTTGTTGCAAGATCATAGTCATCCTCGCGATTTCCCACAAATTTATTTCTTTATTTATTAGTTATCATTGAAGATAAGTTATGTTTAAATAAATTTATAAATGTTTTAACTAACTCTTCAAACCAACTTTTGTTAGCAAGTTTAACATTTTCCAACCTTTTAAGGTATTAATTCTAGATTATTTTCATCCCATCTATCATAACCTCCGCAAAATGAAATATCGAAACTTCCTCCCTAGTTATATATGTAACTTATCATATGATTTCCACTCAAGTTTATGATCAGGTGAGTTGGATTAAACTATCAACGTCATGATTCCTGATGTCCAATTTGAAAATTTCGATTTTACAATATAAAGTTGCCAAACATTATTGGTTGCAATTATTAAATAATCTTTTCTTTCCTTTAGAAAGAATTTTGTAATAATCATAATTTTCGTTTATACTTTTATCGCTTTTGATCTTTCATCCTTTGTAACAGATTTATCGGTTTCTGTCCTGATTCATGTCTGTCGTCGTAAATAATATAATCCGATGAATTAATTCTTGTCGAATAGCTGACATCATGAAGTGTAAAAAAAAATTTTTACCAAATTATTCTTTTATTTTATGATCATAATTTTTTCTAAAGGTGATAAAAAGAGGAGAAATTATTTAAATGCTAACAAACTCCAGAATTAAACTAAATTATTTGATAAAGGCTTTCTTTACACGAATTTACGTACAACGAAAAAAAAAAGAATTTGGCCAAAGAATTCATTTTGTAAAAATAAAAATCGACATCCATGCGCCAAAAAACATGGCATTTCTCCGACAAATAATGACAGCTATTATGTTGACTTATTTCTTGAGGAATGATAGGTTCATTATATCTAAAGTTAACTGTATATAATTAATATTTGAATATTGAAATAAATTTGAATATGTGAAATTATTTAGATATTGAATTGATTTTGAATATAAAACCATTTTGGATGTCAAATTATAGTAAGACAACCATTATATATTTAGAAAATAAAAAGTTTTTAAGTATTTATTTTAGCTTTAAATTCTTTTTTTTTTTGAAATTTTGGCTGATAAATTTTTAAATAGACTTTTAACTGGTTTTTTTGTTAAGAGTAAAGATGATTTAAAAAAATTTTTGATAAAATTAGTTTAACTTGTGATTTTTATTAAAGTTACAGCATATATAATATAATATACTGATAAAGTTATTAAATATAAATTGGAGAAATTGATTGAAATATAAGTACCGTATATTCCCGAAAATAAGCACCCCAAAAATAAGCATCCCCCAATTTCTATATTACCTGAAAATAAGCACCTCTTAAAAAAAACCTGTAAAAAAATATTTAATTCAATATACTAATTAGAGCTGTGATCTGTACAACCCGAGTATACCCATATAATTATAAGTATCCGGGTCATAAAATAATAAATGGGTAAAAATGGGTAATATCCAGTTTGTATCCATTTTATATTTGTAAGGGTTGACCCGAATACGAAATTGTTATATTATTATAAAGATGTTCATTCCCACATTTGGAAAGAGATTTGTTTCTATTGTTGTAAAATATACTGTTGCGCCATTTGCGTTTTGATAATTGCTAAGTCTTTGTAACTGTAAATCTAACTTTGCGATATATTTTTTTAATTTTAAGTAATATTTATCCTTTATGACAACGATATTTGTTATATAAAAGTTCCTAAAAAAGTTAGTTTGATAATTAGTTTTAATGTAACATCCTAGTACAATAAAACTTTAGTGTTTAAATTGAAATGAACTACTTTTATAAAAATTTGACGAAAGTTTATAATTTTATACTTTCTCCTTTTTTACCTCTCGGGCTTTTATATATTTTTTAATTGATAAAAATATTTATAAGGACTTTAATTTCTTAATTATAAAAAAAATTAATTTTAAATTAATCTATTTTTTACCTTTTCCATAAAAGTTGAGAAAATCTGTTAGCCAAATAACATTATAGTTATTTTAATCACTTAAAAGCCATTATTTATCCTTATCATAATATTTTGTCCCTTTCTTATCCACTGTAACCAAAAAATACCGAAATTATATTCCAAAAATTTATTATCTTCTTTCTTCCTCTTCTCTCATAAGTCAACAATTCATTAATCCTATTTGAAATTTTTTTTAAAATTTGTAGTTATTTATATACTTCATATTTAAATATATTGTAAATAATTTAGAACATTTATTTCAAAATCCACCCAAAGAAGTAAGAATATATTTTGTTAATGCTTTTATCAGATAAATAATATATTGGGGATTTTAAAATGTATACTTTCGTAAATATGAGTATAAATATTCAATGCTCTTTTTTATTAAAAAAATTTCTAGTTTGATATTTGGTTATGATTTGCAATAATAAATCCAAACAAAAACAAAACGAATTGTCTATAATGAACTTGACTTTAATGTAACATGCTAACCAACCACCTGCTAAAAAGCTTAAAACTAAACCAAATAATACTAAGTCACGAACTAGTTAGATCTGGAATTACTTTGATATTAATAGAGATGATACTGGATCAACAGGAAATTTAATTAAACATCTTGCACACAAACATACTTTAACAAAAATTTATCTATTTCTCTTATCGAAAATAAGGTATCTATATTTTAATATTAATTATATTTATAATTTAGTTTAACTAAAATAATAAAATATTAAATAATAATAAATATATATTATATAGAATAAGTTAAAACAAGCAAAAATTATAACTATGATCAAATCCGTTAATTCTACTAAACAAACAAAATTGTATTCCACTAAAATACAAACACATTATCATCACATCAATAAGTTTTAGATTATATTTTAGAAGATATACAACCTATCAGCTGTATAAAAAAACTGGGTTTTAATAAATTACTTAATATTTTTGATTCGCATGTTACTATATACCTTCAGATCACAAAATTCATAAAATGTTATCAAAATCTTATAATTACACTTTTCAGGAATTACATATTTTAATTAATGAAGAGGCTAAGTCTATTGCTTTAACTGCAAATTGTTGGCCTTTAAGAAGTCGTTATCCTTATATTGGTACTACAGCAACATGGTGTGATTTAAATTTTGATATTAAAGAAATTTTATCAATTGAACAGTTTGATCACCCATATACAATTGAAAAAGTTAAGGCTAAAATGGATAAATATATTCGTGATAAATTAAGAAAAGATAAAGATTTATTTTTCTGCGTAACAAAAAAAATGATCTACTCGTATATGAATAGTTGGTTTGCTGCTTCAAACATTTTTGACCCTTGACCCTTAACTGTCTTAATAAATATTAAAATTTTCCAAGATTTCTTATCTTTGATAAATCTTCTTGTTCTTTATTAAAGAATTTATTTGACGTTTTAAATTTGACATGAATATCAAAATATGCATAAAATTTTATTTTAAATAATTTCAAATATTTTGTATTTATTCTATCGTAAAAAAATACTTTCGTTAAATTTATATATTTTCGTTCGTGCAATCTTTTTTCATGTATAATATTCTGGTTACGCATATGCATATGTTATGCAAATTTTCTGTAGGATACATTATTTCAAACAAAAGGTACCATATTTTTCATCATTTGATAATAAATGATTATCAAGATTATTTGATCATTTAAGTTGCCGCGCGTAAACACAGTATACCATTTTTTTAGGTTCAATGAAATAAGGATTCGAATCAAATTGAGATTCAACAATTCAGGGATCAATCTGAAAAAATAATAAAAAAAAAAATACATATTTTTCTTATATAATAGTATTTTTTTATACATATGGGAAGTTTGCTATTAAAATTGAGTTTACAAACATAGTAAATCATATGAATGAACTGTAACATTATTTTACTAGAAAACTTCCCATATGATGAAAATGATGTATGATGAGCTTTACGAAAATAGGAATTAAAATGGTTAATGCAACGCAATTTTATAAAATTTATCAAAATTAAGTTGAATTTTTTTACTTGGGATATTTTTGGTAAAGCTGAAGGCATGTAATTTTTTTACGATGATCTTTTTTGATTTAATGATTTGAGAAAAATCGAAAAATAAGTAAAAGTATCAGTGCTTGACAAAGTTGTTTCCTTTTAAAAAATTCATTACAGGGTATATAATTCATTTCAAATTCCAGCACTTCTCAGCTACATGTTACTTGGATGGTTGGTTAAAACTAATGTAAATAAATAATTTTAATCAATAGATACGTATATTTTTATGCTGTAAATATTCATTAGTAATTTTTAAAATTCAATAAATCAAAATAAATAAAAAAATATTTATAAAAATATTTAGTTATTCAAAATCACAATTAAGAGTTGCTAATGCAGACTGCAGTAAATATTTTTATTTAATGACAGATTATATAATTGTTTAATAGCATTTTAAATCATTATTTAAAATAATTGTTAATTATAAATCTTCTATTGTGAACTAATTTTTATAAATAGGTAGAGATCTTTTCAACTATTAATTGTAGATTTATTATTTTTTTATTTTTATATTAAAGCTTTTCTAATAAATTATACTTTCCAGATTTATTTTCTATAGCATCTTTCTTTTCATATACTAACTCATTTTTTTTTTCAGTTTAGGTTACTTTGATAAAAAGCTTATTATTTAATGATTATTTTTTTTTTTAAGTATTTCAATTTTTTTTTTGGTAAAGTATTTTTTTCAGAAAATTTTTATTATTTCTTTTATTTGGTAAGGTTTTTTTTTAATTTATTTCATTGATTGGAATCAATTATACAAAATCAATTTGAATTAGAATCGATTAATCGTAACTAACTAAAAAAAATTGATTCAGACACCAACACGTCAAAGTGGTAAAAATTATTAATAAACTATATAACAGTGTATAATAAAATAAAAAATTATTATACGAAAAAAAATAAGTTAATAAAATAAAAAATATACGAATATTGAAATTACTAAATTTTATATATATAGACGAAATCATGTAATAATTTAATAAATTTGTAAATAAATTTTTTTAACAAAAATAATTATTTTATATTAAATTTCATAAAAATGATGATATTTATCGATTAATGTATTACACAATTATTATAATGAGTTCTTAAATATTTAGGTTTGAGATATGTTAAGGAATCAGGTAAATTTGGTAATCTAGTTATCCGAGTATTTTCGCAGTTCAGTTCAGTTAAGAAGGTTGGTAAAATTGGTAAGCTATTTAATTTAGTATTATTGCAATAGAGTTTTGTTAAGGAATCGGGTAAAGTTGGTAAGCTATTTATTGGAGTATTACTACAACTGAATAATGTTAAGGAGTCGGGTAAAGTTGGTAAGCTATTTATTTTAGTATTACTACAACTGAATAATGTTAAGGAGTCGGGTAAAGTTGGTAAGTTATTTATTGGGGTATTACTACATTCAAGTATTTTTAAGGAGTCGGGTAAAGTTGGAAAGCTATTTAATTTAGTATCATTGCAATAGAGTTCTGTTAAGGAGTCGGGTAAATTTGGTAAGCTATTTATTGGAGTATTACTACAACCGAGTGTTGTTAAGGAGTCGGGTAAAGTTGGTAAGCTATTTATTTGAATATTACTACAATTGAGTAATGTTAAGGAGTCGGGTAAAGTTGGTAAGCTATTTATTGGAGTATTACTACAATAGAGTTTCGTTAAGGAGTGGGGTAAAGTTGGTAAGTTATTTATTTGGGTATTAAAACAGCTGAGTTCTGTTAAGGAGTCGGGTAAAGTTGGTAAGCTATTTATTTGAGTATTAGAACACCAGAGTTTCGTTAAGGAGTCGGGTAAAGTTGGTAAGCTATTTATTGGAGTATTTCTACATTCGAGTATTATTAAGAAGTCAGGTAAAGTTGGTAAGCTATTTAATTTAGTATTATCACAGTTGAGTTCCGTTAAAGAGTCGGGTAACGTTGGTAAGCTGGTTATCTTAGTATTATTACATTCGAGTATTTTTAATTTCCGATATATTTGCAATCCTCCTAAGACGTTTAATATACTCTTGTTAAGATCCGTAATTGTTAAAATTTCAGTAGTATCATCGTAAATAATGCTTGATGTTTCATTATTCAATTTTAATTCTTCTACATTCATTTGATTAAAATTTTGAATCATTCGAGATAAGTCCCCATGAAATGAATTATTCATACTAGGATTAATTTGTTGTTCTGAAGATTGAAGGTTTGATTCGTCATTATTAATTGGAACATTTTCTATTATAGCATTTAATTTATAAACTACTTTGTTCATAGTCGGACGATTGTCTGGCTCGCTGTCCCAGCATTCTAAAATCA